ATTACAAAATCATTGTCTTTCAATTCGTTCACTGTTAAGCATTAAACATTTGTTTATAATGTTATTTTCGCAAATTTCATTAAAATAGAACAGATTATTCAAATAATTTATATACGTTGCGCGACATTTTTGAAATTATTCTAGTCTTTCGCGTCTATTTCTTTCTAATGAATTCTTCGAAAATTAACGTTTACTGATTTTTGTAGGTATTGGCCTAGACGATTCTTTTGTTTTGTTGTCTGCTTGGAGGCGAACGAAAGCAAAAGACAGCGTGATGCAGAGGATGAGCCATACATTTTCCGAAGCGGGAGTGTCCATCACCATCACTTCCTTGACTAACATTGCTTCGTTTTGTGTTGGAATCACATCACCTTTTAGAGTCGTTCGTATCTACTGCATGTATGGCGCTCTGTCTGTATTGTTCGATTTCGTCTATCAAATCTTCTTTTTCGGAAGTCTCATGGCCCTTGATGGCCACCGGGAAAAACATCGTCTCAATCCTTTTCTCTGTTACACAGTGAAAGAAACACATTTCGGTAAGTAAGAATTGTTGTGTGCACCTACGAACACTCGATACACTTGTTCACAGTTTTACCAAACGGTTTTCTTTCAATGTTTTTTCACACATGATCAATTGGTTCTATTGAACGATTTATACCATATCTAAATAATTTTAATTGTTGTGGATGTTTACACCAATCATAAGTGAAAATTTCCACTCTCTCAGACACGACGCCAGCGTTGTTGCTTGAAATTTGCGAGATGATGATAATGTTGAAGTGAAACTCGGAGTATAAACCTCTTTTCCATAATAAACAGTAGAACTATGTTTTCACTATTTTTATCATATTTACTGCATAAGCAAACACCGTTTATGTCAAGTCACGTTATCTATTTTTAATGATAGATAACGTGACTTCAGTTATTTTTAGCACACTCAATTATTTTTCTATTAAACACTTCTCAGTTTATAAAGAATAACTGAAAGCAGTGGGTATCAAAACATATAATAAGAACATATGAACCGTATAAACCGTGTTCTGTTAGTATTAAAATTTGTGTAGGTTTATTATTTTAAAAATTTTCAGTAAAAACAATATAAACTTAAGACATAAACACTGAATAATAAATTATAAAGAAAAATAAAGATGAATCTAAATATTTGCACCAGGGAAAAAAATCTTTCTTCTATTTAAACTAGGTTTGCTCTGGGAAAACAACGTAGTGTTTTCTGATTCGGCTTTACACGAAAACACAAATATAGTGACATGCTCCTAACTTTCTGTGTAAAACAGTTCGAAACACGAATTTTTTGTGGAAATATTAAATGTCTGTCATTTTAAGCTAAAAAAAAAAAAACATCAATAATTGTTTAAATCACTCACATGTCAGAATAATCTCTATTATAATCTATAAGTGCTTATAAGAACAATGCTTAATAAACATGCTTAAGAACAATAATTAAATAGCTATTAATAATATCGACAAATAATCATTAAATAATGTCTTAAAACTCTTTTTGTAGATAACGAAACATCCAAAGTCAGACAAGACGAAACCTACTCGAACAAGTGTGATAGAGCCGTGAAATACCTATCTGAAAAACTGGGAAGTCTCCTCTGTAGAAAATCAGTGAAAATGCTAATCGTATTCATGTTCGTATGCAATATCGCAGGAAGTATTTACAGCATCAAAGATATGAAACAAGGACTGGACTTAAAAGAAATTTTTCCATTTTCTTCTCCAATCACAAAATTCATAAATAATTACTATTCGTATTTTACAGATTATCCACACGTAATACAAGTCGTTTTTAATCAGACATTAGATTATTCAAATCCCAGTGTACAAGAAGAAGTAGAGAACATCTTGTCAATGGTTCAGAACGCTCCTTATATCAGTGGACGCGAACACTCCTTATGTTGGATACGAGAATATCTTTCTTTCATTCACAATAACGACTTAAATTATCTGATGAAAGATTTTAACACGAGCGATCCACGAGGTTTCGTTCAAGGATTGAAACAAGTATTTCTCAGATTTCAGCCAGCCATTCAATTCCGGAAAGATCTATCTTGGGATAGAGAGAGAAACCAAATTGTAGCTTCAAGGTGTTTTGTTTCGTCCAAAGGCGTCAGAACCGGAACTGATGAGAAATTATTATTAGAAGGTTTACGTCAGATTGCGGATCGTAGCAAATATCGCGTAATCGTATACAACATTTTATTTGCTTTCTACGAGCAATCTTTAAACTTGACGGCTATCTGTTTGCAAAACGTGGGTGTCGCCGTCTTTGTAGTAAGCCTGATATTCCTGTTGATGATACAAGATATTCCTTGCACCGTTTGCGTGTCATTAAACGTCGTCTGCATTCTAGTAGAGACAATGGGTTACATGAATTGGTGGCATGTCAAATTAGATCTGATGTCGGTCCTGATTTTAATGATGAGTGCGGGATTATGCATCGATTTTTCGGCTCACGTGGCATACGCGTATAAGTGTTGCCAGAAGGAATCATCCGAAGAAAAAATTAAATATAGTTTGTACGCTACGGGATATCCGATAATGCAAAATTGCTTGTCTACCCTATTGGGTGTCATAGTTTTGGCATTTGGACCTTCCTATACTTTTGTGATATTTTTCAAAATAATCTTGTTGATTATGGTTTTCGCTGCTCTTAACGGACTGCTTCTGTTGCCAGTATTACTGATTATTGGAGAATCAATTGTTGCTCCTTGGAAAAAGAAAAGTTTTCCATTCTCCCAGTAAAAGTAATTCTCACGTAAAATTTGAGGTAACTTTATTTTTGAAAGTAGCACAAAAAGTTGTTTGTTTCATAAAAGTTTATCAGTATTTTAAAGTAGAAATTTTCTTTATAATTATAGCTTTTAAAAACATCCATGATTATCAATTTTTAAGGTATCGAATGAATGATGCAATTTAAAATATCAATGCTTGTTTTATTCGTGTGTTCGATTATATCAAAGAGACGTTATTTCTTATTCTTTCTCCTTCTTCTAACGATTAAATTTCATAGATTTTGAATACACATTCTGGTCCATTTGCCTGACGACTATCATTTACTTTATCGATAGTTCTTCCATTTACTCTTGTAATTTTTGTAGTTTGTTTATTATTAAATAACATCACAAGACAGTAGGCTTTTTTATTAAATAATTGTCTATTATTATTTACTCAGAAATATTATCTCTCAGACGAACACTTTTAGTTTCTGGTAATGGAAAGATGCATGTTTCAGCCATAATAGTGAATAATCCTGTGATAACCAACTGTACGCTCCTAGTCACCTCTTCGCTTTGTAGCAAATCATATGCTGTATTATATGAATTTCTGAAAGCTTAAAATCGAAAAAATGTAACACATGATTTTAAATTTTAATCTCTTTTAACGTGAAATGACTTTAGACGTGGTATTTCGGATAATTTCTTTGTTCCAAATTCTCTACAAGGGTTAATGTAATCTGCCACAATATGATGAAAACGATTCAGTCTACTAGAAATCTTCCTTAGTATAGCGTAGTAATCGAAATATAACTGCAGAGATGACTCTCTCATTTTGGAACAAAGTATATTCTTTACAAAGTTATAAAAAATTCATTTATTCTTTTACTATATTACTGTTTTTTGGTAAAATTGTTTTTGTAAAATATGATAATAAACCAATTATTAATTCATTTGTATTGTTTTGTAATATCATTTATTGCATACTTCTTAAGAAATACATTTATAAAGACTTAGGTAGGTTACATGTAAAGAAGAATTTTTATACGAAAGTCTTATTCTTATGAGAATCTGTACTTTCCATACTCCTCTTTTACCTAATCTTAGAAGATCCTGTACATAATTTTCAACTAATTTTTTAAGGCAAGATAATATAGAAGAATAGACAATTGAGATTACGTAATTTAAAATCGCAGAAGAGAAAATTACATAAAATCTTCCTGCCTGGATAGAACAAGTGTAATTACTAGTAAATGAATTCAATCTATGACGAATTGATCAAATGAATATATTGAGAATTCTTCATATTATATTCATAAATACAGAGAAGAATTTTTAGATTATTATTTCAGCAACCCAATAGTGTTGTTTTCCCCAAACATATCGCAACGATTTCTGTATGTTATAACTGTCTTTTTTATTCTTAAAACAGCACTATTGGGTTGCCGAAATAATAATTTGATACAGATCCAAACAAAAAACTAAACGAAAAATCTTTTAGAAACGAGTTGCATTCAAATTCAAATTAGATTTTCCAATTTGTTTGATTATTAAACACATTTGGAATGACAGATAATAAAGTAAGTAACGCAAAAACACTATTAAACCATCGAAATATCTTTTCAATCATCAAACAAACTGATAATTTATGTAAATAACTTCCTAGTAAAAGTAAGAAATACCTTGATCTAGTTTCGTTCACAGTTAAAACAGTGAAATAAAAAAATACCATTTTNCCTGAAAATTAAATTTTTTTTCATTTTAGTATGTCGTAAAGTTTACTATAAAATCTATGTTTATTCCTTTCCTTATTTATAAAATTTAAAATATACGCTCACCACCTGAAATTAGTAGTGTGTTGTCATGTACTGTATTGTACATCATACTTTTCCTTTAACAATCCCGGACATCTGAAATGCTTTCAAGGGGAAAGATTTGAATCAAAATAATGCGACTTTGGGTTTGCATTGAAAGTTCTTATATAGTTGGTCGGGGCCTCCAGCCCCTAAAGATTCCGAATGTAGTTTCATCTTTCATCCATCTAATTAGATTCTCGAGATAAAAAAAAACAGGCAGACGGACAACGGACGAGAGTGAGAATTTATGAGTCTACACAGTAAAACAATTATCTCCTTCATTATTGTCGGAGACGTGTGCTTAAATTGCAAACAGCGATTAGTCCTATGTTAAGTGACCGAATAACGTCATAAAAATCAAATAAAAATTCACTAATTTTTCTTACTGTTTTTTAGAAAAAGAATGAAGAAGACTTTAGACTCTTATTTATCTTATTGGTTTTCTCGAATCGGCAAATTTGTCGGTGAATATCCTCAACATTGCATCGCTGCCACCTTATTGGTTACAGTGATTTTAGGATCCGGACTTCTCAAAATTTCCATGATACAGGATTTCGAATATCTGTACAGTCCGAGAAACGCGAGAGTTTTGGAAGATAGAAAATCCATCCAGAATCTGTTTTCTAACGGCGACGAGGCCGAAGATAGATTAATTAGAAGTTCCACATACGAAAATTTTATTGCGGTCATTGCCTCGGCGAAGAACAACGGTTCCATTATGAACACCTCTTCGATAGAAGATGTAATCCAGATGGATGTTATCATTCGCAACATCAGCATCTTTTGGAATAAGAAATTCTACAGTTACCGAGATATTTGTATGAAGAATGATCGTAACGAATGCCCGAAAAATTTTGTTTCTTCTTTGAAATACATGATGAAACATCCTGGAAACGTTTCCATGAGGTAAGACTATCTTTGTAAAGAATTATTTGTAATTACATCAAAATTTGCAATTTCGAATATGTTTAGCCATTTTATCGTTAGGATTGAAGTGATGGGATAAGTTACTGCAACACGTGCAAGATCTTCTACGGGAAGATCTTCGTACTGCCTAATGCGGTACGTTTGTGACAAACTGCCACCTATTTACGTCTTAGGCATGTAAGATAAATCGAGAAAACTGTTGGCAGCCGTCTGTAGTTCAGACTCGAACTAGTGTACAATGGTTGCATCTACTTCGCCATTGGCGAGGAAAAAGTGAACAAAAAGTATCTAATTTTATTTATCTTTGTGATTCTGTGAGCGAATATAAAAAGTTCTGCTTTTTTGTGTTAAAGAGAATAGTGACAATTACCTTATTTTTACTATCCTCTTAATGTTCGGAAAATTTGCACAAAGAGGAAATATCGTTAACCTAGTTAGTGACTGTCTGTCAGACAAATAATTTCAATACACATCCTTTGTCATTGTTGGTACTATAGAATCGAACATGTACGTTTGTAGGAAGCGTTTTTCCAAGTGGGCAATAACGTCCCCTTGTGGGCGATGAGTAAATCTTGGAGGCGCTGGAGGCAAGGTATTGAACGGTGATCAAAGGCAAAATTGGGGTCACTGAAAGCCGTTCCCATTCCTCTGTTATACTGATAAGAGGAAACATTGCGTTTAGTGGTTTCCAGATGTTGAGAACAATGTACGGTAAGGGCACAAAGTGTGAGATTCATAGAAAAGTTTTCCTAAAAATATTTCCAATCCTTTCTCACACAGGAGAAAATGGGTTAGGGGGTATAACTTTATGGAACAAAGGGGGCGATGGATCAACAAGTTTGAAAATCACTACTCTAGACTCTAGAGCAGTGATTCCCAAACTTTTTCGATCCACCGCCCCCTTTGTTCCGTAAAGTTATACCCAACGCCCCCTAACCCATTTTCTCTTGTGTGAGAAAAGGATTGGAAATATTCTCACACTTTGTGTCCTTACTGTACATTGTTCTCAACATCTGGAAATCATTAAACGCAATGTTTCCTCTTATCAGCCCCAAGTTTGCCTTTGGTCACCGTTCAATACCCTGCCTGCAGCGCCTCCTAGATCTACTCATCGCCCAGAAGAGGGCGTTTTTGTCCACTTTGAGAAACGCTGAGCTAAAATATAAGTCAATGTGTTAGAAATATTCAAGTTGTGACCTTCAATAAAAAATAAAAAATATATAAAATGTCAACATTTTATATATATTCCGTCGAATTTTTATATATAGAATTTGTCTGCCGTCGCCCCTCTAGATTTCCTTAACGCCCCCCAATTCTCTTTGAGCCTTCTACTGCCCCCTGAAAGCCTCCAGCGCCCACAAGGGGGCGTTATCGCCCACTTTGAGAAACGCTGCTCTAGAGTCTAAACGAGGAAAGGTCCTGCGTTTCTTTAAATAGTGTTGATAAAATGACAATTTGTGTAAATTTATTATTTTCAGTAATTTTTTTATCAATACCTACTTTTTGCAGAGTATCAAATAACAGCGTTTGATTAACACTATTAAAGGCCTTCTCGAAATCAACAAACATTCAAATATCTCTGTATTATGATCAATTATTCTTTTTCTATCAGTCGTATCATTGTAAAGGCCTCCATTTATGTAGTTTTCTATTCTTCGCTGTATGATACTAACTAAAACCTTTGAGGCATGGCTTATCAAGCTACTAGTTCCGTGTTTATCACAATATAAGGTACCCGCAGTTATAAAAACAGGGATGAAGAAAAATTTTGTGAAATCATCCGGAATATCTGTCTCTAAACCCTTGTTTAAAAATTAGTTAGGATTCTTGTTCTATCTTTCCCATAACCTTAAGGAGTTCTGCTGGTATTTTATCTATTTCTGGTGTCTTTCTGTCCCTTAGTTTTTTCAATGCAGCATAAATCTCATCCTTAAGAAATGTTGCACTATCTTCTTTCGCCTTTATTCTTTCTAGGTTTAAACTCTCCTCATTTCCGTAGATCATTCGTCATTGTAGCATTTGTTCATCTTTCTGCAATAAAATATTTCCATTTCCATTCCCAATTCTGAGTCCCAGCCAGAGAATTTCAGGGTTCCAATTCTACATTTCATTTTTTCTCTGAGATTAAGTTTAGCTTTTCGTATACTCTTCTTAAGTCGTTCCCATTTGCGTAGTGTTCCATTTCCAGACATAATTGATTCAACTTGTTTACTTTGCCTGTTTGCACATTATTCTTATTTGTTTATTAATGATTCCATACTTTATTTTCTTCTGTGTAATTAGCGTTTTTGTATCGTATTCTTTCATCCATCGTTTTTTACTATCTCGTCTGTGACGATTTAGATTATCAGAAAGTAAACTTACGTCCGAATTAGTTCAATCATTTAGCCATATTAATTTTAATTTAAAATCCCAGAATAATGTCATCTGACAAGTGAGTACAATTTCTTTTTATTCTTTGCTTCTTTACGTGTTTAGATATCCAGTAGAACGAACAGGTTTTGATGTAAAAATATACGCTATGAACGTAGGTGGAGTATCAACTAATGACACCGGATACATCACGGACTTCAAGGCCGTTCATCTCTCGTATTTTATGGATTTCGGAACAGACGAGAAGAAGCGAGTAGCTTTAAAGTGGGAAGAGGAATTTTTGAATATAGTGACTCGAGTGGAATTTCGACACATCGACGTTTCCTTCCTTAGTCTTCGCAGTGTCAATGCCGAAGTAAACAGAAACACAGAACTGAGCATTCCGCTCTCATTTATAATCACTCCTGTAGTAATTTCCTTCTCGGTGGCAAGTTGTATGGCGTTCGACATCGTCAGAAGTAAACCGTGGATTGGACTAGCAGGGTGGTTTAGTCCCGCTTTAGCAGTTATAGCATCGTTTGGTTTGCTGTTACACTGCGGAATGGAATATTCTGACGTCAATACAACGATGCTATTTCTTTTCATAGGTACGTTTTCTAGTTATTTTTTATACAGTAAACAGTAAACACATCTGTATTCTTTTGCAAATAGTAACTACAAAAGAATTTTCTGAGTGTAAGTACATAAAATACACTTTTCGAGTATTTGCTATTATGAAAAATTTCAGGGATAAGTTTCTAAATATGTTTTTTATTATTTTATGACTTATAATTGTCGACTCAAAATTCTGTTACATTGATGCAAAAGTTTGTGGAATTTTTAGACTTCTGTAGAATATTCGATCATTTAATTAAAATTAAATTAATATAATTAAAATCGCTATTCGACAGATAAAATTTTCAACTTTTGTGGGGTATGTAAAACAAAGACTATGTACAATCTCAAGTGAAAACATCTTCAAAACGGCGATACAGTAGAACCTCGAAAACTCGGCTCTCGATAACCCGGCACTCCGGATAACTAGGCCACACCCTGGCAGGGCAAAAAATCCTTAGTTAATTAATTTTCATTATAGACAGCTTTATAAAAGTGTAAAAGCTCTCATAAACTATTTTTCTGAGGTCTGTCTTATCAGGTAAATTACTGTACACAGTGTATTCATTAATTTTCATTTTCATGTAGTAAAGGCTCTATGCCTTCATAAAGTACGTACTTTTCCTTTGTTTAAGGGTATTTGGGCAGTTTATTCTCTGTTGTATTCTCCAGCAAACAATACATACAATTACAGTACACTATTTTCTGAGGAAACACGCATACTTATCTTTTTTTAACCCCATTCCCGATAACCCGGCATTTTCACAAACTCGGCCACCCTTCGGTCCATATTAGGCCGAGTTTTCGAGGTTCTACTGTATCAAAGATACATGAAGTTTACCAACGATTTCTGACGACCAAACTCATAGATGTGCGATTTACTATTTGGTATAGAATTTCGTATTGAATCAACTAAAGCCTGGTACTCACATGCGGCAACGGATTACGGAAACAGTCGACAGAAACGGTTGTGATTCCGTCGTCTTTCCGTGTCCCGTGTACTCACGTGCGGAAATTACCCTACAATTGAAACGGGCCATCTGCCAGCCGTAAATATAAACCAGTTACTACAGTAGCTAGGCCACGTGCTAGTAGTCGAAAATGGCGTCTACCGGGATCGCTTTGTGATATCATTTAAACTTTTTAAGTTTGCCTTCGATCTTATCGCAAATAAAAAAAAAACCTCTAAAACGAATAATTTGGATAGGAAAAATATTCTAAATCGTCGAAAGTTAGGAATATCGAATACTTTCGTCGCCGAATTACGATTACTCCTATCCCAATACTTTAAGCAGTAAGTAAGTCTATTTGACATTAATATCTAAATCGGATAGTAATGTAGAGTATAAATGAAATGTATTAGCGTATTAGTGTACAAATAAAGCTTTTTAGCTGGCCGACCGTCATAGTTCGAACGCTATCGTCCCACGCAGGGATGCCACTCGCGACATATGAAAAAACTTGGAACTGGATGAAAAAAAACCAGATTATTTACCCAAAAAATTCGTGATTTAAAATATAATTACAGTAGCCCTCCCTATAACATGGTAGATACGTTCCGTTTTATTCGAATTCCGTGTTTTACGAGTCACTTAAATACATTAGCCAATCACAGCCCAGCACGTGTGCAGTTTAGGGACTATGGCCGTTTGAAAGGTTTTCCTCCATAAAATTAATCGATTCTAGATTAATTCGACTCAACATTTCCAAAATACGTATAATTTTTTTGGGAATAATCCGTATAAACTATGCTATAAACAAAAAATTGTAGGATTACTTACCGAGTGTGCACCGTTACATGTCGCCATTGCTTGTTTTCGTCGCGGAGCGGCGCATCGAACGGCGGGTGCGTGTTTTCTGATAAGTTATTTTTCGGCGAAAAATTCGCTGAACTTTGGAGACATCATTAATAGAAATAATTTTTATGGCCGTTAAATAATAAATGATTTTTAGTAGGACCAGTGCTCGTTTAAACTCAACGGTTAGTGCAATATCCGCTATTGGTCTAGATTCGACCAATCCTGTCGCGACACGAGTCGGCGATGACGTTTTACCGTATTATACGAGTCTCTTTTTGAATACAATTGCAATTTTTTCGCCATGTTATGCGAATCCATATTATATGAACCCGTGTTATAGGGGTCTACTGTATAAATACTTTATCGTAGTACATTCATGCTGTTATAATTACACACACTATAATACAAATTTAAAAAACCATTTATTACCTAATTTACACAGTAGTTAATGTTATTTTACAGTTACTCTGTTTCTTCTTCTTCCATTGACAGTTCTGCACAATCTTTATGCTCTTCTTGTCGCTTCTTTATACTTCTTTCAAATTCCTTGTACTACATCTCTAATTAGTTTAGGTTCCGGTTCATACAGCGAACAGCTAAGATTTTTCCTACAGATTGCTTGTTTAGCAAGCAACCTGTTCTTTGACGATTCAACAGTTAAGTTCGTTTTTTGCAATTAATGTTGGGAAACGGAAGCCGACATATCCCTCACCACCCGGTCACCCCCATTGTGGGCCTGGCCGAACCCATAATTGCCATAGATAATTTATATACAGTATTAGACTCAATAAGTCCATTTCTTAAAATTTAGAACACTAACATTGTGTTGTAGGTAAGTTACATTGATTAAATACTGTATATAATTATTCACATTTAAGAATTAATAGAATAAATGCAACATGTTTAGCTACCATCATTTTAATTCTCCTAAAACTTTTGTTCTAAAACTTACACCACTTCATATACAAACTTACAATGTACTGTATATTTTCAAAATATACAACATATATATATATATATCATGCCTATAATTAAGAATAAAAAATATTACTACTTTATACATTTTCAAACCACAATGTTACAAACATTATTGCATAAAGCAATACATTTTATTTTCAAAATACACGTAAGCCATCGAGATTTTTAATTAAGTAGCTGGAGTTAAAATGTTGCTGCTTGTCTCACCATAGCAAATCATTGCGGGGTATGGTTTCATAGCTTGAGCAGGTCATTAAGTGTATCTGAGTGTTTTTAACTCCACGTGATTCAGGATTCAGCAAATAAAGTACCATCCTTTTCGTTTTTGTTTCTAAAATCTAAATTTTTTTATTATTTAAGTCATTTTATTTTAAGTCATTTAAAAAAAAAAAAAAAACCTCGAAACCAGAGAAGGTCGAAAAACCCAGATCTGGGTTTTAAAACCAAGGAGTGGTAACCCTGGTCCCAGGTGATCTTTATGACGACATTGCTAAACGGCCTTCCTATTGTTATAATTTTTGCTGTTCCGCTTTCAGCAACGGCAAAAGTGACATCATTTTGCCGTTCCGTCGACGAGTTCCGTCGTCCGTTGCAGCATGTGAGTACCAGGCTTTAGTCTAATCGCGCTATATTACAACTGTTTGATAGGAAAGTCGTGCCCACGTATACAATCTACGATTGATTTAGTAATTTTAAGTTAAGCAATAAGATAAGATAAGAATCGAAAATGAACATTCCTGAGAAAAATCTTCTGTCCAGCTGGAAGCCAAGCAACCCCATCACCTTGTGGGAAATAAGCCAAACGCCTGGTTGTGACTACTCCATTGTACTTTGTCACTCATATGACAATGGAATGGTCTGCAAAATGAACGTTAAGGTTCAACACAATCTGAATGCAAAACCACACGTCAAGGTAGATCACTGATGGTAGATTCTCCCTCTTCCCCGTATAGACGAGACATTGCACCATTCCACTGCTGTCTCTTTAGCTCCACGCAACTTCTTGGATGGAAAACGATTCGCTGATGACCAAATGAAAATCACATTTGCAGAGTTCTTTCAGTAGAAATAGCCTGAGTTTTATTCAGCAAGAAACCGTGACCTACCCAATCCATGGAAGAAGGCAGTTGAATGTAATGACGTTTATTTTCTTGAGTAAACTATGTTTTTTTATTTGCTTTTAAAATTAATGTTGTACTATAAAATTCAAAATTCCAAAAACTTTTGCTTCGATCCAACACTACGAAAATCAACTTTGTTAAAGTGTCAAACAATTTTAAAACGTTTACTGGTATTAAAATTGTGGAAAAGCAAAATAAGTTCAATTAATTACAAATCATATTTACATCGCAAGTTAAGTCAACATTGCAACAAATTCTGTGGGATATACTGTTGTTCAATTACTTCACTGTGACAGCATCGTCAAGTATTACACATTTGTTTCTCTTATAATGTTATTTTCTCAAATTTCATTAAACCACGACAGTTTGTTCGTGTTTTCTCAAATAATCTGCATCTGTACTCTGCGTGAAAATTTTTAAAATTATTCTAGTGTTTCGTGTCTATTTGTACTGTACTTAATCAATTTTTCGAAAAATTAACGCTCACTGATTTTTGTAGGTATTGGCCTAGACGATTCTTTTGTTTTGTTGTCTGCTTGGAGGCGAACGAGCGCAAAAGACAGCGTGATGCAGAGGATGAGCCATACTTTTTCCGAAGCGGGAGTGTCCATCACCATCACTTCCTTGACTAATCTTGCTTCGTTNTATTACACATTTGTTTCTCTTATAATGTTATTTTCTCAAATTTCATTAAACCAGGACAGTTTGTTCGTGTTTTCTGAAATAAACTGCATCTCTACTCTGCGTGAAAATTTTAAAAATTATTCTAGTGTTTCGTGTTTATTTCTACTTAATCAATTTTTCGAAAAATTAACGCTCACTGATTTTTGTAGGTATTGGCCTAGACGATTCTTTTGTTTTGTTGTCTGCTTGGAGGCGAACGAACGCAAAAGACAACGTGATGCAGAGGATGAGCCATGCTTTTTCCGAAGCGGGAGTGTCCATCACCATCACATCCTTGACTAATCTTGCTTCGTTTTGTGTTGGAATCACTTCACCTTTTAGAGTCGTTCGTATCTTTTGCTGCTACAGCGCTCTGTCCATATTTTTCGATCTCATCTATCAGATCTTCTTTTTCGGAAGTCTCATGGCGCTTGATGGCTACAGAGAAGAACGTCGTCTTAGTTCCATTCTTTGTTACACAGTAAAAGAAAAGCATTTCGGTAAGTACATATTTTTGTGTGAATTTATTTTTTCGTGCACAGACAGCTCAGGCGGTTAAGGCTTCAGACTACCGCTCTACAGATTGGGGATCGCTTTATTATTACGTTACTAGATGTTTTTAGGAAACGACTTTCCGGTTCGTTCCGACATGACACGAAAACAAATATGGTAAACGCTTTTAGCATTCTGTTTATAGACGTTTATATCTCGCAGAATAGAAGGAGTACGTGCCCGTCCAACGTCATATCCGATGAAAATATCAAGAAAACTTTAAAATTCCTACATGTGCGGCCAACGGCCTGCCAACACCAGTATCCTGTGAAAACACACGTGCACTGTACATGAATTTTAACAATCTTGTATAGAATATATTGTTTCAAAATGATAAGAAACACTTGAAAATTTAAATCATAAGCGAATTTATTTATTACTAATAAGCAATATGTCCACCTTTTTATTAATTACTCCGTAAACTCTTTCTGGAATTTATTTAATAACTTTTTTCTCGCCTATGATTTCCTGCCAAGCATCAGTTATCGCCTGTTTTACTTATTCCACTGGAGTATATATAGAGCTTTTCATTCGAATATTCTTTCTTTGCTAATATGCCAAACGTATTTATATAAGATGAGAAGACATCAGACCAATTCGTAACACGCACACCATTTGTCAAAAACAGTTCCACTTTAATTTTGCACGATGAGCAGGCACATTATCTTGTCAGAATTGGAAAAATCTCCCTCCAATTTTTCCGGAAATGTTAGGTACATTTCTGTCACTTGCTGTTATCCTACAGCACTAGTCCGCCCCGAGATAAAAACTAGATTTGTCATACAAGCCAATCAAAATGTACAACACACAATATCACTTTCAGTATTTAATCATTAAGTATTAAATAATCTACAGCCGAAATTCTGCTGAAGTGGAAAATATAAACAGTAGGAAAAAAGTAGAAGAAATAGAAAAATTAAAGGCAGATAGGTGAAACAATGATATTTTATTTCGATTTTTCTGAATAAGATCTTTTCTATTTCCTAAACAGAAACTACACCAGTATAATAAGTCCTATTAAATAAGATTGAACTGCTGCCTACTGTAGACCTGTTCAGGCCATACTGCCCAGCAACATTAGGCATCTTCTGCCTACTCTCCACCTTTGCTATTATACTCTCACCTTTCGAAAAGAAAGACAGATGCAAAACTTAATGAGTGCCTACCCGACAGTCTCGCGAATACATAAAAGAATTATTTTGTCAGAAAAATAAAAGGCTAGAATTACAAAAGAGAGTTTCAAAGTTCGGAGGAATACTATCCGATCGGTATATACCGGCTTGAGCGTTGATGTCGACGTTTCCCACACTCCGAAAAGTTTCGAATTGTTTCCCGAAGACATGGGAAGACCAATCGATATTCATTATTTTACATCGCTTCTTCTTGTATTTGTTCTGTGAGGTGTTCGTTATCCGATCATGTGTTCTTTGTCCGAACATAAAAATCTTTCACGAAAGTGTTCGTTAACCGATCACCCACTGTATATTGTTGTGAAGCTAAGGGAACGAGGCATCTTAAAATTGACTCTCCTTAGTAGATCAGTGATAGCTGCCAAATTTCACTAACTAACTGTATTAGCTGTATGCAAATGTTGTATTAAAACTTTTATAATCTACAACTGCTCATAAGAACACTGCAGAATTTGCTTAAAATAATTACCTTCCTTTTAATAACAAACGAATCGTAAAATAATTTCTTTAATAACAAACGAATCGTAAAATAAGTACTTTTTTTTAGAAAACGAAACATCCGAAGTCAGGAAAGAAGAGACAAACAGGAAGCAGTCTAAAACTATGAAGTTCGTTTCTGAAAATTTCGGAACCTTCCTCGGGAGAAAATCAGTGAAAACTCTAATCGTATTCATGTTCGTATGCAATATTGCCGGAAGCATTTACAGCATCAAAGATATGAAACAAGGACTGGACTTAAAAGAAATCTTTCCATTTTCTTCTCCAATCACAAAATTCATAAATGATTANTCTGCTGAAGTGGAAAATATAAACAGTAGGAAAAACTAGAAAAAATAGAAAAATTAAAGGCAGATAGGTGAAACAATGATATGTTATTTCGATTTTTCTGAATAAGATCATCTCTATTTCCTAAACAGAAACTACACCAGTATAATAAGTCCTATTAATAAACAAAGTCCAATGTAGCCAAAGATACAAAAGAAATCAATAAAGTAAAGACATAGAGGCAAAACGAATTACTACTTCCAGCTTTTTACAAAGGAATGTTGCTTTTATTGGAGCGAATTTTATTCGGTTTTTTACAATCACAGGTAAGTAATATTAAAGAAAAACACGTGAAGCGGCTTGATTAATTTGATGACAGCAATACTTTTATCAAAACATGAGAAGTCAAAGGTGACATTCCCGCAGACCTAAAATGACATTTGAATTTGAGCATNCAAAGTCCAATGTAGCCAAAGATACAAAAGAAATCAATAAAGTAAAGACATAGAGGCAAAACGAATTACTACTTCCAGCTTTTTACAAAGGAATGTTGCTTTTATTGGAGCGAATTTTATTCGGTTTTTTACAATCACAGGTAAGTAATATTAAAGAAAAACACGTGAAGCGGCTTGATTAATTTGATGACAGCAATACTTTTATCAAAACATGAGAAGTCAAAGGTGACATTCCCGCAGACCTAAAATGACATTTGAATTTGAGCATTATATTGTGTCCTAGCCTATATGTAATTAACAGTAATTAACAAATTTCATTACATGGCATAAATGTCACATGAATTCTTTATAAAGTTATTTAAATATAATTGAGCGGCACATAAGGAGAATAAGCTTTATAAGTCAGCGTTTTCGAAGTTCAAAGCAACCGCATGACCCTTAAACATAGTCTTTTGTAAATAAGTACTACTTAGCAAGACCGATGTCGTGACGAAACCGGAATTTTCAAATTCCTTCTATACGCTGAGATATTCGAGGTCAAAGTTCGCCACAAAGTCTATGAGTCGATAGCAGTCGTAAGCTGGTCGCGCGCTACATGTGAATCTACATCAGTATTGTCCGATTACTGAAAATTTACATTGATCTCTACCATAAGATTTTTTTTATCTTTACGACGAGCGTCTAACATCTACGGCCAGTGGACGTACTTGTGCGTTTTAAGCTATCATCAACCGTTATAATAGTCACGCGGTACAGTATATTGTTGTGAAGCTAAGGGAACGAAGCATCTTAAAATTAACTCTCCTTAGTAGTGCAGTGATAGCTGCCAAATTTCACTAACTAACTGTATTAGCTGTATGCAAATGATTGTATTAAAACTTTATAATCTACAACTGCTCATAAGAATACTGCAGAATTTGCTTAAAATAATTACCTTCCTTTTAATAACAAACGAATCGTAAAATAATTTCTTAAAGTAACTTTTTTTTTAGAAAACGAAACATCCGAAGTCAGAAAAGAGGAGACAGACAGGAAGCAGTCTAAAGCTATGAAGTTCGTTTCTGAAAATTTCGGAACCTTCCTCGGAAGAAAATCAGTAAAAATGCTAATCGTATTCATGTTCGTATGCAATATTGCAGGAAGCATTTACAGCATCAAAGATATGAAACAAGGACTGGACTTAAAAGAAATCTTTCCATTTTCTTCTCCAATCACAAAATTCATAAATGATTACTATTTGTATTTTACAGATTATCCACACGTAATACAGATCGTTTTTAACCAGACATTAGATTATTCAAATCCCAGTGTACAAGAAGAAGTAGAGAACATCTTATCAATGGTTCATAACGCNAAAATGCTAATCGTATTCATGTTCGTATGCAATATTGCCGGAAGCATTTACAGCATCAAAGATATGAAACAAGGACTGGACTTAAAAGAAATCTTTCCATTTTCTTCTCCAATCACAAAATTCATAAATGATTACTATTTGTATTTTACAGATTATCCACACGTAATACAGATCGTTTTTAACCAGACATTAGATTATTCAAATCCCAGTGTACAAGAAGAAGTAGAGAACATCTTGTCAATGGTTCATAACGCTCCTTATATCAGTGGACGCGAACACTCCTTATGTTGGATACGAGAATATCTTTCTTTCATTCACAATAACGACTTAAATTATCTGATGAAAGATTTTAACACGAGCGATCCACGAGGTTTCGTTCAAGGATTGAAACGAGTATTTCTCCGACTTCAGCCAGCCATTCAATTTCGGAACGATCTATCTTGGGATAGAGAGAGAAACCAAATTGTGGCTTCTAGGTGTTTTGTTTCGTCCAAAGGCGTCAGAACCGGAACTGATGAGAAATTATTCTTAGAAGGTTTACGTCAGATTGCGGATCGTAGCAAATATCGCGTAATCGTATACAACCCTTCATTTGTTTTCTACGAGCAATCTTTAAACTTGACGGCTATCTGTTTGCAAAACGTGGGTGTCGCCGTCTTTGTAGTAAGCCTGATATTCCTGGTGCTGATACAAGATATTCCTTGCACCGTTTGCGTGTCATTAAACGTCGTCTGCATTCTAGTAGAGACAATGGGTTACATGAATTGGTGGCATGTCAAATTAGATGTGATGTCGGTCCTGATTTTAATGATGAGTGCGGGATTATGCATCGATTTTTCGGCTCACGTGGCGTACGCGTATAAGTGTTGCCAGAAGGAATCATCCGAAGAAAAAATTAAATATAGTTTGTACTCCACGGGATATCCTGTAATTCAAGGTTGCTTGTCTACAGTCTTGGGTGTCGTTGTTTTGGCATTTGGACCTTCCTATACTTTTGTGATATTTTTCAAAATAATCTTGTTGATTATGGTTTTCGCTGCTCTTAACGGACTGCTTCTATTGCCAGTGATGCTGAGTATTGGAGAATCCATTGTTATTCCTTGGAAAAAGTAGGTAGATATCGATTGTATATTTTAACCCAATTTCCAAACATGAATTTGAGATGTTTTTGATTTTTGTTCCTATTTTTGTCTAATTTGTACTTTGTTTATTAATTAACAGAATTTATTAAACTAATGTAGTTTCTGTCTATCATATAGAGAACTTAGTCAAAAAAAATCAAAATAAAATCTCTTTATTTTCTCCTGACAAAGTAGGGAAAGATATAAACAGAAATCAATAAAAGTAAGGACATAGAGGCAAAAAATTCAAAATGTTTTTATTTTTACAATTATTGCAGAAAGTTGTTTGTTACCGAGTGAATAGGCGCGCCCACAAGAGGCCTCGTGGATATAACCACTAAACACTGGTAGTTGGTCGTGAGTTCACGCCTACCAACGGGCTGGCTAGGTAGGGATTCCGGGTTTTCTTCACGTTTCTAACACATAAATAGGATCCAGTTATACATTGAAGTCCTTTTGGGAGGCACTCCCTAGGCAGATCGCGAAATAATGATAATTCTAAGTTGCACTAACATTATAAATATATCATTCTAAAAATCAATTTTAAGAGAAGTTTTTCTTTACGAAGAAATAAAGTTTACTGTTAAGAGTTTACTGTGTACTGTAAATGTTATTCTCAAAACTACAAAAATATATTTGTTTTTGAGGAACAAAGAACTTAAATTGAAAGCAAAAGTGTCATGTGTTCTGTTTCATTTCCATCTACAGTAGAGCGTCGTTTATCCGAAAGCTGGTTATCCGAAACGTCCGTTATCCGAAAGCTGGTTATCCGAAACGTCCGTTATCCGAAAGCATTCCAGTCGGCAAATTTAAATTTTCGCTAGTGCTGTGGCGCTGCAATCTTCGGCTATTTCTCGGGCTACTCAAATATTTTGTGTTTTTGATACTAAATTAACATCTGANTCTGCACGTTTCTAACACCTAAATAGGAGCCAGTTATACATTGAAGTACTTTTGGGAGGCATCTCCCTAGGCAGATCGGCCACGTGTCCATAACTAAATAAACCACAACCACAAACCTAATATATGGTGAAATTTAAAATATCATTGCATATGTTATTCGTTTATTCGATTACTTTAATTAAGAAATAATTAAATATAATTAATCATTCGCAACAAATTATTACTTAATAAATTATAAGCGAAATAATGATAATTCTAAGTTGCACTAACATTAACATTAACAAGCACTAACATTACAAATATATCATTTTAAAAATTAATTTTAAGAGAAGTTTTTGTTTACGAAAAAATAAAGTTTACTGAGTAAATGTTATTCTCAAAAATACAAAAATATATTTGTTTTTGAGAAACAAAGAACTTAAATTGAAAGCAAAAGTGTCATGTTTCACATTATTTCACTATCTATTTGTGAAATAAGAAATATTGAAATATTACAGCATATACGTTTCTGTACTTTTTTCTCACAATACAGAAATAAAATTGTTCGTTAAACGAAAGTGTGTTTTTATGTAATTCTCTTTATAGAAAGTTACTCAGAAGCACTGAATACGCCATTTGTTTGTCAATTTTTTTCAAACATTTTCTTTTCGTATGAATTTATCTGAATAATGTAAATTGTTTACAAAAAATCTTCTAATAGTGGAAATGCGAACTTACATTTTTTATGTCTATCATTTTAAATTAAAAAGAAAAATGTTTTTAATGATATACTTAGCAGTTAAAAAACTCAATTTTTGCTCCTTTTGCCGGGTCCACATTGGCCAAAGCCTCACTACGCCTCTGTCCTAGAATGAATTAAATTCAATAAACGAGGCATCATTGTAATTTTATCTCCTTCAGAAATAACTGATAAATCTCAAATTTAATGTTCTATTTGTAATAGGAAGATAACCACGTGTTTTGTCGTGTTTTGTTATAAAACTCCTTTTATTGTTTTCTTACAGATGCATTTCGTGCTAGGTTATCTTTCTATCTCCTTTTCAGTGCTACAAAATAAATTTTAATTATTAAATTGACAAAAAACTACGTCGAGTAGATAATGCTTACAAAACAATAAAAACACATTTCATAATACCCTAAGGGTCTCCATAGGTTTCAATGGCTTAATTTTCTTACTTATACGGTACTTTTAGTCCCATTTACAATATTTTCACCACCTTAATAATTACATTAAGGGCGTGTATAGTGTTACATCGAAAGAATGTACATCTTGTAACACAAGTAAATATAAACTATAAAACTTAGTAACATTTTACAATAATATTTTAAAAACTTTAAAACAAAAATATAAATATACATACGGGTTTCTTTCTAATTAAAAGCATATTATTTTCAAAATTTAACAGTATACAGTATGTTGTATAACCTTTAAACACCACTATCATACAAAATAATTTTTTCATACGTGACAATGTATAATCCTTACGATATAATTTACTAACTCAACGTTGCTCCTTGTATTATGTTGTACCCTTGCTGGTCGATTTGCATACCATTTAACACATTTATTAAATTATCATTATTATATTCTATTATCTCTATGTGTTCTTTGAATTTACGTTTATAAATATTTTTTTCATAGTGTAGGACTTTATTATTATTTCTGTCTATTTGGTAGTTGCTATTTTTGATGTGGTTAAACCAAGGGGTATTATATGTTTTAGTCATACGGCAGCTTCGTGTTCTTTAATGCGTAATTCTAAAGTCCTTCCTGTTTCTCCTATTTTCTTTCGGATTTTGACAGTTATAATTAATCCTATAAACAATTCCAGTTTTTTTTTTCAATATATCAACGTTGGTTTTGTGTTTTCCTAGTTTATGAATTTCGTGTGAGATTTTATTGGTCAAAGATGGGGCCAAAACCACATTATCTTTGTATAAAAGTTTTGAACAGTTATCATAAATAATAGTTATGTAAGGAATGGCTTTGTAATCTTAATCTTTTTTTATTTTTTATATTAAACCTATTTTTGTAATATTGTGTGCCAAATTTTTGGATAAATATCGAAGATGAATTTATAATCTAATTCGTGTAATTCCATTACGCATTGTTCTTGTGTATATCTTCTTTAATTCCATCATAAATGTATTCGTTTTAATACCTATTGGGGTATATGAGTAACAACTGATTGTTTTATATTTTGGTCTATATTATTTATTGTATTTAAAATCATCCTTTCATTTGTTATCTCATTATTAAAAATCAATAAGTAATCATCCACGTATCTCATTACAGCTTTAACACCGGGAATGTTTTTTACTTTTTATCTATATCTATCGTTACTAGTTCAGCTAATTTTGACCCCATGCTAACGTCATTTGTTTGTCTATAAAAATTATTACAAACTTCAAAATAATTTCTTTTATATGCAAATTCTATAAGATTTATTAATGTTTGGTTGGTTTTTAATTGTATCAGGCTGTTTTTTTTATTAATTCCCATTTTATGTTTTGGGTACCTTTTTTTATCTATTCATTCAATTCATTTCAGAAATTATTTTCATTTAGAAAAACTTTTCAATTCACTCATCAGAATATAAAAAATTATATTATAACATATATTTGTACATTTTTCTACAAACTGTTCTTCAAAATTTTCTAGAAAGGCATTATTATTGTGTACAAATGCGCCCTGCTTAATAATATTTTGGTACTTTTTTTGTTTACCGATACTTCATCCTGTTGATCTTTCATAAATATCAATTATTCTGTGTTATAGTGTTATTTTATAGTTTATAGTGCTATTAAAATTTCAAGCATCTTTTAGTTGCATACATGAAAGTTTTAAAATTCCACTTATGACAATCGCATACAAAAATCATTAGACTAAAATAACTTTTATATAAGTGAGTGCAAGGTAGCAAGCTACAATTTATCGTGGAAACTGAAAAATTAACTTGATTGTTTTCTATAACGGATAATTTTTTCCTTTAATAAGTGTTTTATAATATACAGTACATCCCCCTATAACACGGTAGATACGTTCCGTGTTTTATGAAATTCATGTTCTACGAGTCCTTAAATACATGAGCCAATCACAGGCCGGCACGTATGCAGTTTAGGGACTACGGCTGTTTGAAAGGATTTCTTCCATAAAATTAACCGATTCTAGACTAATTCGACTCAACATTTCCAAAATACGTATAATTTTTTGGTTATAATCCATATAAACTATGCTATAAACAAAAAAATTGTAGGATTACTTACCGAATATGCACCGTTCGACGACGCCATTGCTTGTTTTCGTCGCGGAGCGGCGCATCGAACGGCGGGCGCGTGTTTCCTGATAAATTATTTTTCTGCGAAAAATTCGCTGAACTTTGGAGACATCATTAATATAAATATACTTTTTATGGCGGTTAAATAATAAATTGTTTTTAGTAGGTCCGCCGCTCGTTTAAACTCAACGGTTTGTGCAATATCCGCTATTGGTGTAGATTCGACGAATCCTGTCCCTACACGAGTCGGCGATGACGTTTTACCGTATCATACGAGTTTCCTTTAGCGTGTTTATACGAATACGATCGCAATTTTTTCGCCATTATATACGAATCCGTATCATATGAACCCGTTTTATAGGGGAGTCTACTATAAATATAAGCGTTTGTGACCGCAGGGTCGGTACCTCTGATGCCTTGTCAAAACTGACACCACCGTGTCTTCCGGACATGGAAATTTCGATGGCCGTTACGTTAGTTTTCGCGCGAGCGATCGCGTTGTAAGCTTTCGGACTTGGAATGGAGGCGGAAGGAGATAACCGGAAGAAGTACAGTACACTCCACAAAGTTATGATTTAACAAAATACCCGTTTATTAATTAATCGATACCATCTATTTACACGGTTTTTATCGTTGTTTTCATCAAATCAGATGCTTAGCACAGTTACTAAAAGGTACTGTACATACCCTATAAGGGAAAGGATAAGCTTGTCGCGACCCGGACCAAGAGAGAGAGCTCACGTTCGTTCGCGAGACGATAAATACCTTAAACACTTGTTGGACCTACGACGTATCGATGTTCAGTTCGATG